GCCAGATGCTCTCAGTTCGGCGTATTTGTGCCTTTATGTTTAATTCTTCTATTCCGAGCAGCTTGACTGTTTTCAGCTATTTTAAAACCTCTTCTTTTTACTGGTAAACAACTGATTCCAACAGTAAATGCTAAATTTTCTCTCAAATCTAAAGTTTTTTAAACTCTTGACTCAGTGAATTCAACAAGTTTGTTCATCGAAAATCCGGCTCTTTCTGAAACGAGTCCAATCTACCTTCATTTTAGATGTCCATTAGATAACTTGTCATTTTGAAAACACTGAAGTTCAGGTCAGAAGTACGTGTTCTTGGGATGCAGCAATATTAACTGTATTTCAGTTTAGGTGGAGAATTGTGGAATAACTTACAGTCTCATCTATAACTGCAATCAACTCCAAAATGATTGAGTTTCAATCGAGCGACCATTGTTTTGATTTAAAAACAAGCTTGAATGATGTTGTCTCAGCTGAGTATTTTTTACATATGCTGTTATAATGGATTCCTTCAAATACCTTTCAGAATTTCTCAAGGAATTCCTCTAAACACATTTTCTCGTCAAATTGAATAAAGTTTGGTTTGTCAACTGCGTGAAGCTTGCTTTGTCACTGCCGATCTCTTCTGTACCTATGACATCACTACACTCTGACCAATCAAGATTCGCATGCTAAAATAGCTCAGACTAGCGCGCGGAGCTAAAAATAGATTTTCAAGAAACTTTCATGGGTCACAGGGATATGCTCTCTTACTTCATATTCTCTTGCAAGGAAGCCATTCGTGGTACCTTAACTGGAATGGTTTCCACTCTGAACCAATCAGGAAGCAGAAAAACACAATATGCACATCATCCAATCAAACGGAAGCCATTTATTTTACCTTGATTGAATGGATCCCACGCACACGAGTGTATTATAAATGATGTTTTCAACTTGTTACGATCTTTTGATATTTTAGCACCCTACTTTCCATTGCCACATGTCGCTAAGTGCTCACATTAAAAATATATGAAAGCGAAAAAATGGCGTTAAAAGAAAGATTGGAAAAAAAAACTGATACCATAGGGAAGAATGGAAACCTCATTCAATATCGTACAGTTAAAAAACATGTGTCTTTAATTGAAATAAGGTTTCTCTTTCTTTAAATAGAATGAAATTGTCGTTCGTTCGTGCATGTGAAATATCGGCAGAACGCTTAATATGGTAATTAAAGTGATTACCTCAGCCTGGAGGCCACGAGGCATAACATAGTCTACTTCTTTTATTAGAACTGTCTTATTATTAGTCTTGTTATTTAAATATTTCTCATTTTTCTAAAGACATCAAGAAAGAAGACAAGAAGACACGACTAATAAAGTCATATTTAAAAATAGATGAAAATAAATAAGTAAGCTCAATTAACATAGATATGGGGCACGTACTTTATTAGATTGAACAGGCGATAGCTCTTACACCTCCCCTGTGTTCTGATCTGAGTTACATTTGAAACACGAGGTTTTAAAAATTGTCCAGCTAAATACAGTCTAAATGTTTGCGGTTTTTATAAAGGTTTAAAGTGGTTCTTTGAAGAGACTGAAACAACTGAGTAAAAATTTGAAAAATTTGTCGTTTTATATTGTACTTTTTAATGAAAGATTTCGATGCTACAATGAATTGTCTTTGCACAAGGGTTTTTTTCAGTTGTATATCTTTGTTTACATCCGTAGGTTATCCCAATGTACCTTGGAGTCTTAAAGTTTCCCCTGTCTTAAGAAGTTCATCTGCAAGTGTTTTGTTTCGGTGTTTAGGTTTTCACAGCACGACTACTCTTGTTGTAGTTCATTAAGAAGCATATCTTCATGGGAGCCAAAAAATAACTACCCTAAAATGAAACGCTATAGATTGCCCACCATAACTATTCATTCCTTTGATTACCAAACATTTTATTGTTTGCATTCTACATTTCCTTACGTCGTTTCAGTCTTTTGATCTAGAGGGAAAAAAGTCAATTTAAATCACACCAGTCGTACGCTTCTTTTCCTATCGAAGGTGCGTGTGGAAAAACAAAATTCAATAAATTTGTTATTAATCTGCAATTCAAAGCATCTATTAATAGTTAATAATAATTGGTTATTTATATAATGCACATATTTGTGGGGGGAAGGAGTGGGGTTACTATTTAAAGCCTGGAAGTGCAGAAAAATGCAATATCATTTTCAGTGGGGAGGGGTGGGGAATTTTGAAGGGTTGTTCTTTTTTCATTGAAGTCTAAATAATGCAATATTTGTTCAAACAATCTCAAATTATTCATTAACAAATATTCAATAATTTATTACAACTCGATCTAGATAACACACATTTTAGTGGGAATGGAGGTATTTGAGGCTTGTTTGTTTTTACTACAGATAAATGTATGGAAAATTTTGAAATCATCTATTAACACGAAAGCTATTAAAAATTAATGAATAACCTTATTATTACGGATCTCAAGAAGCAGAAAGGATGTAGTGACGTCATATTAGTTCCCAGTCCGTGTGTGGTTTTACCGCGCAGGGTTCGTCGATGCTGCAGATGCTCCAAAATGGCCGAACAAAAACCTAAAGGTTTTAATCGCCGAGGAGCTTTTAAGCAGAAAAACGTCTTCAATGTGAAAGACCACCAGTTCATCCCCAAGTTCTTTCGTCAGCCTACCTTCTGTGCTCATTGTAAAGATTTCATATGGTAGGAAGGATTTTTCCCAGGGTTGTAATTCGTCATGATCTTTGTTTGGGCGGGTAGTTTAGATGGACTTTTCGACTCAAATTTTAACTCCAAGAAATTTCTCTTCATTTTTTAAAATTCTTAACCAGGGGACTTCTAGGAACTCAAGGGTATCAATGCAAAGGTTGGTTATTCTTTTTGTGATTCTCCAGCTGGGGTTAACCCAAGTTATACTTATTATTTTGTATCGATAAATAATATTATTTAAGGTAGTTTTGCCTGATGTGGTCGTATTTTGTTTGTTTTTTAGTCTGCTCTTTCGTTGTCCACAAAAGATGCCACGAATTTGTATCCTTCAAATGCCCAGGAGCTGAGGACCTGAATGAAAACGTAAGCTTCAAGCGTTCTAAGTGTCTTTCATTTCATTTTCTTCTCTAAATTCGTCGGAAAAATCCGAAATAACTTCATTTTCACTTTAGTATTTCAATGTTTTGAAACCATTTTATGACTGTTTCAGGTTCCAGTTTCACCTCATCATTTTAAAGTTCATACTTATTCGAGTCCAACGTTTTGCGATCATTGCGGATCCCTACTTTATGGTTTGATCCATCAAGGCAAAAAATGCGAGGGTAATCAAATTCTTTTAGGATTTTCCTCAAACCGTGTTCATTCTAATAATGATTTTGTTATTTTTTCTAGCTTGTGAGATGAATGTCCACAAAAAATGTGAGCAAGCCGTACCTAAATTATGTGGTGCTGATCATACAGAAAGACGGGGTAGAATCCATCTTAAAGTTTGTTACGAGCCGACAAAATCGTCCAACGGAGAAGAAAGAGGTCTTCTTCGAGTTGAAGGTATTCCTATACTAATATTTTTGGTTCTGGGATCCCATTTTTCCTCTCTCCCTTTAACTAATATTTTGGTACATTGAGTTACAAAGTCCGTGTTTTTTATATATTTATTTATTTAATTCAACTGTTGAAAAATCTCTTATTCCAATCCGTGTTACATCTTTTCTACTTGATTCTTTTGAAATCTTGAATTATTATTATTTCATTTTTTAAATTTTGGAAATGAGGTAGACTTTAAGCGTCAGATTTCTCATTAATATTTTTCCACATTACTCTCACACACATATGACAAACTTCACCTTCATTAATATCAAAGACAAAGCAAATAAAACTAGTAATTTCAAATATTAAAAATTCCATTTTTTATATTTATTTACCAATTCTCTTTAAGGTGCCCACAACTTTTTGAGTATTGAGAGTTTGGGGATTAAGTTTTTCATATTTCTATATATAAGCTCATATACATTTTACAAATTCATCAAAGGGTTTGAAGTATTAGAATTTTTTACATCTTTCTGCATAATTTATTTCAATTGTCATTAATATTTATTTGACTCAGACTTGGTTGGGTAGTTTTTGCAATTGTAATTTTCCAATTAATCATTTTGTCCTTCTTCCCACTTTTTATTCGATTTCCAAATGCCATTAACTTTATACCCAGTTGAATGTATTCTACAAGTTTCTTGCTCACATATCTGGCTGGTATTACTTCTATGATTTTTTATTGCGTATTCTAATAAACTAGTTTTATAATTTCTCTCCCTTGACAAGTAACTATGGAAGTGAGTCACAGATGTCACTTAACCCATATATCATTGGTATATATCATAGCTATTCCTAAAGCCTTGATGAATATTCTTAAATTTACTCATAATATAAACACCTAAAAACTTGGCGAATGGCAATCAGTGATTCAAAATTACGACCAAAATGAAATGTAGACAAATGACTAAAAATGAAATTCATGGTGTTTTTTTATCAACAATAAAAAACAATAAATATCTTGAGAACAACATGACTTCTTGAATAAAATTATAATCAAAAACACCAGTTATTCCAGGTATTTCTATTGCTTATAAATTGCCTAGATTAGTTACAACTTATTGACGGTCACCCCTTTAGCCTTTTTCTTTGAAATACAGTAGCTCTATCATAAAGTTTGTATTGCTACAGTAGATTTATTTTTACATACATGTAATGTGCTTTTTTTGTAAGAAATTCTCATAGAAACACAATCATGAAATTGAAAATGTATTTTTTTTAACTTCTTATTTATATTTTCTAGGGCAAGGCATGTTTTGGGTTTTTATGTTATTATCGATCAAATTATGGAAACTAGAAATTTTAATGGGATTTCAAAACATTATTAATGATAAATAATTCAAGGTAGAGGGATCGGCTAAGAATAATGAAAAAGCACATAATTTTAATGTATAGATGTTATTACCAAACAGATTGATTTGCTTAATGTGATAAAAATGTAAAAACAAGTTTGTTATATATCAGTTTAAAGAGGAATAAGGGTGTTGTAGCAGTCATTCACTCACCTCTCATCTGTGAGTTAGCCGTGCCCTGACTTAGATCAGCCCAGAGGTTGTTTCAGGGTTTTGTGTGTGTTAGCCGTGCCCTGACTTAGATCAGCCCAGAGGTTGTTTCAGGGTTTGATCTGTGAGTTAGCCATTCCCTGACTTAGATCAGCCCAGAGGTTGTTTCAGGGTTTGATCTGTGAGTTAACAATGCCCTAACTTAGATCAGCCCAGAGGTTGTTTCAGGGTTCGATCTGTGAGTTAGCCATGCCCTGACTTAGATCAGCCCAGAGGTTATTTCAAATTTCGATCTGTGAGTTAGCCGTGCCCTGACTGTGATCAGCCCAGAGATTGTTTCAAGGTTCGATCTTGGAGTTAGCCATGCCCTGACTGTGATCAGCCCTGACTGTGATCAGCCCAGAGGTTGTTTCAGAGTTTGATCTGTGAGTTAGCCATGCCCTGACTTAGATCAGCCCAGCACCTCTAAAATATTTGAGTTTTAATCTGTACTGTGATTGACTGGCCACATTGTTTATATTAGACACCAACAAGGCAATAAGAGATATTAGAGTTACTCTCTATTGCCTTCAAACAGTTGTATCAAGTCCAAACAATGACAACCTCAAGTCAAGCCTTGGACCCTAATGTTTAGAACCTGATATCTTTTTTTGTGTGATTATCTAGAAATTTTTTCATTAGATTGAAAAAAACTACTCAGTTTGTGCAGCGGCAAAACAAAGGCACAATTGATTTTATTAAACATGAATCCTGGAATTCATCCATTATAGGACTACTAAATCGTAAAGTTATTCTTGAATATGGGTCTATTCATATATATATACGTAGCTGTTCATTAAGCCTTCAGTGTTTATTTTAGGTTTCAGTGAGATACTGTTCCTAAATAGGTTTAAATCTCGGGATAAAAGCTCTGAGTGGATAGAAAAATAAGTTTTTGTCACTGTCTTCCAATTAATCATTGGGAGTATAAAGAATGCCATTGCCAGATTGAGAATATAAAACAATATGTGGTTTTTGGGAGAAATTTTATTTGTTGAGGTTGGCAGGTAGTGAATGAACTTCTAATGGGAAATCTTTACTGACATTTAAATGACAGGTTTCAAATAACATTGTCCAACACATTTTCTTGTACGTTTCTCGATAAAAGTCTACCACTGTTAATAACAGATTGCCATTGATCAAACAACCTCCTTGACGTATTATCCTTCACAACATTTATTCAAATCTGTTTGAATAAAATTTGACATCAGCATCTTTGCTTTTCACTTTTTGATCAAATATGGAAGAAAAAATTAATTAGATTGAATTTCTATGTTCGTTGTCTTTCACTTCTGAGTTTTTGTCAAAATTTTTTTGACAAATTTAAATATATAGTTTTTGTTATAAAATGTAGCAAATTTACAGTCCTGAAACATCTGTTTGATGTTGTGGTTTTAATTGAAGTTCAATTACCTTATCAAGGATTATTTGTCTGCAATTAAATGTCCTTGTAAAAATCTACATATTGATCAAAAATGACCTTATAGATCTCATTTTGGTTAAACGTTCCCGAATTTTTTAAAATTTTGAAATTATACCGGACTAAAAAATCCCAGGTCTGAATTCAATAATATTATTTGATCACCTAAGAGAATTGTTCCAGAAAATTTTAAAGTGAATTTAGTGAAAATGTTTCACCAAAAACCTGTTAATGTACAGATAAGCCCATATCTTGATGATATCTGCTTTGTCTGCCTTGCTGTCCGATGTTTTTGGTGCTTGCATACTAGACAAGTGAATTAATTGCAAGCATATTATTTATATTGAGCCTTAGACGTTTTAAAAAAAAATTCATTTTCTTGAGTGTAAATTTAAAAACTAGGAGTTATAACTAGTATATATTTGACTGTAAGTTTTCGTGTAAAATAATGGTGCTAGATGTATATGCATTTTATTATCATCATTGTAAAAAAGGCTTCAACTTTATCAAATCCTGTTATTGTAAAAGTGGTCTTAGGATTTTTGTATCTCAGGGGAAATTTAAAAAAAAGTGTTTGATAGTGTCTTAAGTAGTATTACTAAATGTATTGGAAGGAAGGTATTAACTCTCATTAGTCAATCAAGAGTTTACAACTGAAGTCAATTAACATCATTTTTGTTTTTCTTTAATAGTTAGATAGGGTTGTCTAAGTCAGGGCACAGCTAACTCACAGTCTAACATCTAAAGAAAAACCTCACTGGAACAGACTTAGAACAGCCTAGCTTAGAACCGACTTGTATAAGCGCTTTACAAGCTTTTCTATTATTATTATTAACTCTCTAAGTGAACCTTTAAACATCCTCTGGGCTGATCTAAGTCAGGGCATGGCTAACTCACAGATCAAACCCTGAAACAACCTCTGGGCTGATCTAAGTCAGGGCATGGCTAACTCAC